CTGTATACCCCCATCAGCTAGTGAAGTGGGGCATCAATAAATATTTATGGAAAGATGTTCCTTTTTTAGCATTTGCTGCTTGCTCAAATGATATTTCAAGGGTCAGATTCAAAAGCAGACTGAATCTGGTCTTACTAGATCTGCCATTCCCTACAGCACAGTGATGGAAGTATGAGCTCTGGAGTCAGAGGGCGCGGGTTTAAATCCTGCATTTACCTCTTACTTACTGAGTGACTTTGGGCAGGTTAGGTGGTCTTTGTGAGCCTCACTGATTCATTGTATAAATGGAACAAAATAATAGTATGTTTAAAGTTGCTTTGAGAATCAGTGTGGCTTCTAGACCACTGATAATGGTGAGACAAGAAGTTGGCAAGTTTTATTGCTCACTGGAATAAACTATGTTTTGCTCTAGGAAAGCAAAGACTAGAAGCTCTTTTTACAAGACTGGCCAAACCAATTCTTCTGCTATTGGGAAAAAAAATAAAGAAATAAATTCAAAATCCTCATTTTGGTTTGACTCTGCAACTCAGATGAGCAATTTAAGCCAATTCAACATCTGGCAAAGAATCCAGTATCTGGAATCAAAGAGTGATGCTAAACCTAGGCACAAAGTTTGCTTTTGGCCAACACTTGCTACTGTGATGGGAAAAGAAAGAATACCAATTTCCAGCAATCTAGGAGTGGATCAGGGAGTTCTCAAACCAAACTCCTGCTTCATGGAGAACTGAGCCAGGTAGACCTACTGTACAGGGATAATTGCCTCTGAAATGAGAGGTTACTATATTTCTCAGTTGTAATATCCATCCCACATTGAAGGACTGCCATTCATTCATTCACTAAATATGCACGTGTTAAGGGTCCTCCCTGTGCAAAGCACTGGTTGCTGGGATATAAGGAGAAAATGGCACAGTGGTTTCTTTCAAAGTGTTTACAAACTAGTGAACGAGTGAAATTTGTACACACAAAACTGGGTGATATGTACAGTAATGGAGGCAAGTCCAAGACATGGTGGGAGCAAAGAGGAAGGAGTGCTTAAGTCAGCTTGAGGAGTCAGGGAAGGCTCCCAGAGGAGACAGCACTGGATTCAAGATCTGATGGATAATCAGGAGTTTGTGTGATAGCTACAAACAACTGAGAGAGAAGGGCCTGAGACAGAAATCAGGTTGTTATTGCTGTCAGGACAGCTGGGGTGCTGGAGCCAAGAAGAGACCTGGAACAAAGTTAGTACTATTTTTATAAGCTAGAAAAATATCAGCAGCAGGAGCCCTGGCCAGAACCGCCCCCACAGAGAGCAAACAAAGCGACTCCTATCTTCCGGCTGTCTGCTGGGGAACTTACTAACCAGCACCTTAAGAACAAGATGTTCTTTTATCTTTGATTTTTATTCCTACGAAGTCCTTCCTCCTATTCTTCCAGAACTGGAAAAAGCATGAGTTGAGTTTTACTTGCTTCTTTGATCTTTATCCCCCCATTCCAGCCTTCCCTTGAGAATGAGGGTCCAGGAGTATTTCTCCAAAGCAGAATGCTGATCCTCTTACTAGTCAGAAGGTGGGGTCCAAGGCAGGTCACGCCAGGTCAGCACGTGAAGGGACCATGACTGTCAGGGCTTGTTTGTGCAAGGCCTGGATGGCATCCAATTTCGACATCCAAAGCTAGATTCATAAGCGATCTCTCAGCATGGAGTTCACCTAACCCTTCCTTGAGGTTGTTTCCAACCTCAATCTATACAGAATCATACAGCAGTGAGTGCTGCATTCTGTGCCAGAGTGCCAGAGAAGGAAGATTCGGGCAGATTCAGGGAAGGCAGATGGAGTCCAGAAGCCTGAGGTTGTTCTCCAACTGCCTATCCAGAGGGAAGACAGTTCTCCTGGCACCTTCTTCCCAGGATCGTAACTCAGAGAACTTCCTAAAAGCTCCTAGTTTGTGTCAGGCATTGTGATTCCAGAGGGAGAAAGTCAAAGAGAGACACCTCGTTATTATGTGCTACTGTGTGCCAGACGCTGCGCCAGCTGCTGTGACCTGTTCACATCATGAGTTCTCATAACAGCACTGCAAAGGGCACTGTGAGGGGCACTGCTCTCTCTCACTGCAGAAGAGGAAAACGGAGGTGTGAAGAGGCGTGACACGTGGCCCAAGGTGCACAGGTAGCGAGAAGAAGACTTTAAACCCAAATCTTCAGACTCCACGTTCAGAGCCCTTATTGCAGCGTCGTAGCATGTCTCAAGGGTTAGTCGTCTCAAACCAATACTATTGAGCTACAAACATGCAGGCCAGGAGAGAACAACCAGAATTTTCTCTCCAAAAGGAGTGGGCCTTTGTCAGCTCTGTTCACTTCCATGATTCCAGTGCCTGGACCAGTCACTGCCAGGCCTGCAGGCACTCAATATACACCTTTAGTGACGACGCAGCTGCACAGGTGGATGATCTTTTCAAGAGTTTTGGGCCTATGTTCTCCTCCACATCCTCATGGGGGCATAGGCAGGGTAGGCAATGAGAGGGAACATTTGTTCCCAGGCCTCCTCTCTTTCCCGGATGTCCTGATCCTGAGTTGGCTGTGAGGGGAAGGGGACAGGAGGAGGAGGTATAAGGAAGTACAAGCATGACAAAACTCGGTCAAAATTGTCAGAATCCTCACTGTCCCACAGGTGCTAAGAATCCCCTTCCCATGCCCTTCCCAGGCACCACTGGCCCCTAAGCTCAGCCCTTTAAGAATCCAAGGTCGTTATTCTGTCTTTCCATTGAAAGAACTTACTTTTGGAAAACACAAGAGAAACTCACTAACTTGAGAGCATTTGTATTTTAAAGGGAACAAAAGGGCTGAGCCAAAGCTTCTAAGGGTAAAATTTCTATCACTGAATCTCTCTGATTTAGGAAAAGAGTGGGGTCATTTAACAGTCTGTATTCCTCCCAGTGCAATTCACCCAACACTCTCTGAGAGTCTGCAAGTACCAGGTGCCATATAGGAAGTGCTTTCCCCTCCGGGGGGCACAGTGCGTCCTGCGCAGAAGGGAGGAGGCATGTTTTGGTTTGACCCTGAGGGAGGTCTGGCAGACTGACAGGGAAACAAGAGTCCAGATGCTCATCAAGGTGCAGCCCTCTTTCTTCCAGCATGTGATGGTCCAGGCCAAGTGCTTGTCACCGGGAGGGGTGGATGATGGAGACTGTCGCCCCTGGGATAACTGAAAAATGGAGGAGAAAGCTTCCCTGGCCTCAAACATGATATGGAAAGTCAGGGTTACTAGGGGACAGAACACGGCATGTCTGTCTAGACCACAAGTTCTCTCCGTGCCTGTTCTTAAAAACCAAAATCATGACATTCCAATCAAAAGCACACACTGTTCCTACAGAAAAGGGAGAGAAACGCCCTTGTCCATACTCAGTATTATCCACCATTCAACCAACCCACATGTATTACTGGCCATTTACTATTTTCCAGGCACCACGCTAGACCCTGAACACATAAAGAAGAACAAGACACACACATTCATAGATGGGTGAGAGCTACCCTGCTCTGCAAGTCCACGGACTATGTAGAAGAACTAGATACTGATTAATAATCTACCACATAAGGAAACATTGACTTTCACTCTACAGGTTAAGGCCAGTTCACCTTATTCTTGCCTTAATGTAACTTTATTCATTTAATAAATTTATCAAACATCTATAGGAACCAGACACAGGACTCAGCATAGGTGATATAAGATGATTACTACACTGCCCTCAAGGAGCTCACTGTCTAGTGGAAAAGACAAGCAGATAAATCAATAATTACAACACAATGTGATCATTTCTTTCATGGGGCAGGCAGAAGCACTGAAAGAAGTACAACCTAGAGAATTCCTAAACATCTGAGTGTCCCCGGAAGGCGACGCAGAGGAGAAGACCTCCGATATGAGTCTTCACGTTCCAGGACACAAATACATGGAGGTGCCAATGCTGGACAGAGTTCTGGGAGCGCAACTCCAGGTAAGCACTTGAAAGATAACTCTTGGCTGTAACATGAAGTATGGCCTAGAACACCTTTCAAAGTTTCTTTAACTATGATGCACAGTGAGAAATTCATTTTCATCATGGCCCAGTATACACACACACATACATATAAAATGGAAACACAAGTCCCACAAAACAGCACTCACCCTTACTATGTAAGATGTGCTCTGAGGTTTTCTACTCTGGTCTATTGTATTCTGAAAATTCAGGGCTCAGGACCTGCTAAATTGATCTCATCAAGTCTGAACTATAATTTAAAAAAAAAAACACTGTTAGAAAGAAAGACTAGGAAAAACGATATGGCTATAGTTGAAGTGAAAAATATTAAGAATCTGAATAACCAAAAAAAGAGAAAAAACTACAACAAGCATGAAGACGAGGATAGAGTCACACAGTTACTTCACTGTATTCCTTGTCTCATTGTCTGCCTTCTTAAGATCTGTGGAAGACACCTCGGTTTGGTTTTAAATTCACTGTCCCCTAGCACCACGCCTGGACAAAATAAGTGTTCAAGGGGTCTTTGAAATAATGAACACATGAATGCCAGGTTTGAGATTTATTTAGGAGATGAAATCAAGACTGCACTCAAGCAATCGGATACAGGATATAAGCCAAATATATTATGAAAATAAATCAATTAGACTTGTGAGGGTTTACCTTTAGAAAAAACAGTCCAGGTAGTATAGCACCATCACACATGCCAGGTGGAAGTTAACATATCTTTTTCAAATTTTCAGTAAACCAAAAAAACCATCCAGATACTGACTCAGGTCAATTTTTTTTCCTATTATTCTGTATGGAGAAATTAATAAAATTATAAATAAATTCTATATTTGATAAAAAGTTCTATAGTTCTATCTAAATGCCTAACTATAAAAAGACTTTTCATTACTATATCTTGAATCACCAGCCCTTGATCTTTGCTTTAGAAACAGAGACGGAGTGCCTCAGGTTCTGGGGATATTCCGTGTGAGCACAGTGTTGGCTGTGGACACGGAGGAAGAGATTACCTAGTCCTCCTGCGTGGGCATCAATGAGGGAGGCTGCCACTGCAAGTCCAGCAGGAAGGCCAAGGTCTTTTGCTGCCTCTGGTGTGAGCCCATTTCCAAGAGAAGCTCCAGGAGGCAGCACTTCGTTTCCTGGGTAGACATGAGAAAAAATAAACACTTGTCAGTTTGAAAAACCCAAAAGCAAACACAGGGTTTTCTTAAGAGAAGCTCTTTGCTCCTTCCCCTCTCCTCTGCATTTTCTCAACTTCATGAAGATAGAAACCACGCAGCCACAAAGTCCTTTTGCTTATCTGGTGACTTAGGTGTATGTCCTTGGTTCCTGGGGGTCATGCTCCAGGGTGCTTTACAAAGCCAAGAACGCTAAGGCATCTTTCAAATTAGAGAAAGATTCCATTCACGGGAAATTCCAAAAGATATAAACACAGTGGCCTCTTGAAGACTCAGTTAAAATGGTCAAACTGTTCCAAACGGGCTTCCTAACACAGTAGCTCTACCAACATACCTCACACACACACACACACACACACACACACACACACGCACATGTGTTCACACACCCGTACATACTCCTTGAGGAACATATATTCCTAAGGAAGTTGAAAAAATTTACTTGTGTAGTTGCTTCCTGTCAGAGGATAAGGGAGGGAATTATTTTGTTCCAATAAATAATTTCTTAAACGTTTTTCTCTGTTGGAAAAGACAACACAGTCTAAACCTTGCAAACTTTACAAGGCTGCCACTTGGACAACCACAGAATACAATTTGAATGGTGTTCTTTGGAGTTGTGCAATTCAGTGACCCTAATATTTCAAGTGACCTTGAATTCTTGTAGTCAGTCAGGCCTTCAGTTAAGAATTTATTGATTGTCTTGCTTTGTGTGGGCACTGTGGAACTGTAAAAGGCAGTCTTTGCCCCCAACCTAGTTAGTGAGATGATATCAGGACACAAAGAACCATGTAAGTCAGAAGAGAATGAAGCGATCCATCTGCTCCCAGGTATTTCGCAGAGGCTGAGTCCCCCCGATCCCTGCCAAGGAATTTATAAGTATTTCTGAACTGCAAAGAGGGGGTGCGGATGGACCCATATAAATGCTAAGATCCCTCTGAGCGCCAAGATTCCAAGATTCTGAATGTACAGTCCGCAACTGCTCAGCGCTAAGACACCTACCACTTGTTAATTGTTCCATGGAGCCCCTGGGATAGGCAGAGGTGCTTCAGGACTTCTGGGGGTGGAGGTGAGTGTGGGGGTTAGAGGGAAGCAGAGGGTGAACTGCTTACCAACTTCCTTTAATTGGGAACAAAACACTTCCAGAACACCATTTTTACCTATTTTAGGTAATAAACTTCTTTCTATAACGGAATTTCAAAAGAGTTTAAGAAAAGGAAGCACAAGAAGACAAACCCCTGCAATGGTGTCTACAGCTTCATTATCCAATATGGCAGCCACTAGGCTCATGTGGACTGAGCATTGGAAATGTGGCCGGAGTAACTAAAGAGCTAAATTGTTCACTTAATTCATTTTAATCCATTTCAATTTAAGTTTAACAACTGATACTCAATTCAGTTACTTAAAAACTTTTAAGTATGTTTGAAACAACTTGGGCATGCAAATCTACTTTTTCAATGTTAATCTAAAAAATCTACTTCAAGTATTTACAATGAAAATTTAGTGTCTGAATTGAGTTGTAGTAAGTGGGAAATACATACCAGAGGGCACAGATTTAGTATGGAAAAATGAATGTAAAATATCTCATTAATAATTTTCGCATCAATTATATGTTGAAATGTATACATATTTTGGATATATTAAGTTAAATAAGACATATTCAAATTAATTTTACTACTTTTTTTAAAATTGATGTTTTAATAGTTTATAACTGTGAAACTTTGGGTTGTACGTTTTTATTTGTCCATCACCATATATATGTCTCCCTTCACCCCTTGTGCCCACCCCCCACCCCCATTGCCCCTGGTAACCACAATACAGTTTTCTCTGTCCATGTGTTGGTTTATATTCCACATATGAGTGAGATCATACAGTGTTTGTCTTTCTCTTTCTGGCTTATTTCACTTAACGTAATACCCTCCAGGTCCATCCATGTTGTTGCAAATGGGACGATTTTGTCTTTTTTATGGCTGAGTACTATTCCAGTGTATATATATACCATATCTTCTTGATCCAATCGTCAGTCGAGGGACACTTAGTTTGTTTCCACTTCTTGGCTACTCACTATTTCTTTTTACTGTAATGTGGCTACTAGAAAATTTTAAGTGACATATGTGACTCACATTATATTTCTATTGCACAGCACCGGTCTAGAGGATAAGGTCAAGATGCTCAAATGACAGGGTGAAGAGCAAGGAGAGCCCCCGGTCTGCTGTGAATGCCCAGGCCTGCAGAAACCTGGAGGAGAGTGGTGCCCCTCACTGTGGACAGTTTGGCTCTGGACACTATCGTAACTATGTCATGTGTCTAGTATCTAGCACATAATAGACAGCATTCCCATTTACTGAGCATTTCTGTGCTGTGGTCTGTGCTAAGGACATGTCATGCATTTTGTCACTTCATTGTCTCAATGACCCGTGTGAAGGGTACTATTGCTGTCTCCCTTGTGCAGATGGATGGGGACAGTCAGGTTTATAGAGTGAAAGGAAATTCCCCACAGTCACACAGCCTAAGTGTTGAAGCACAGGTCATGGATTCCACAGCGACAGATACCAAAACCTGTGCTCTCATTTATTACATTACATTTTGGTGCAGCTATTTAAAAAACTGTTTTCTGAGTGAATGAAGGGATCAAGAGAAGTATTTTTAGAACAAATAATATATATGTTTAAAAAGTAGCACCATTTGGAAATCATGCCCACTACATTCAGATTTTTCTTAAGAGGGTTAATTTTCAAAGGAAGGGCAAACTGAGAACTCTGTTCCACTTTCATCTCCCATCTTCACAAACATAAAGGGTGTAATTTTCATAAAAAAAAGGTTCCAGACGGAAAGAGGATTAGTAGCTGGGGTACTCCTCCAAGTCTTCCGGACAGTAATTTAGAAAGAAGCCTGGACTGCTGAGGTGCAGAAAGAGCCCTGGGCTTGCAGCCAGGAGATCTGGGTTCACAGCCCAAGCTGGAGGACTGAGGTGGACTTCTCAGCAGAGGTAGCATGTCGAGCAAAGGCCAAGAAAGACGGGAGACCGGCAGAAGGGCGGAGTAGACTGAAATACAAGCAGGGGTGAGAGCTGGCAGGAGGTGGAGGGACAGAGAAGGCTGGAGAGGGAGGTGGGGACATAGCATGCATTATAATCCAGACTAAGGTGTATGAATTTAATCACCAAGACTACTGTGAGCCTCTGAAGGAGCATTAAGCCAGGGAGTGAGGTGCTTGCATTTGTGTACTTTTAAACATCTCTCTGGCAGCATTGTCGCAGAGGACAGAATGGGGTGAGGGAAAACAGTTGTGAAGCTATTTCAGTAACCAAAGAGAAAAGATGAGGGCCTTCATTAAGGTATTGGCAAGTGCGAGACAGAAACAGAGGCAGATATGAGAGATTCTGTCAAGCAAGAATGACAGGTCATGGTGGCTGTTTGGATTCAGGGAGTATGGTAGATAGGGAGATATCACCACTTGGATCCCCACTAAGAGTGGACTTGCTGCCCATGTGGGGGAGTGAGGTCAGCAGACAGCTTCCAGCTGCCAGCTCCTTCAGGCCGCCTTGCTGAGGTGATGCCTCTCCCAAGGGACCCCACCCGGTGCCCTGGCAAGGGGGCGCAGAAGGGCTCTGATGGGCACCACTCGCTCCAGAGCCCTCTGCTGGTTAACCAAGGCACAGTGGGACTGCATCACAGTCTGACTTCTCCCTCTGCCCCGTCCTACTCTCCCTCCCCCTTCCTTTCACAGATGGCAACCCCTAATAGATACCCCCAAATCTGTCTCAGCATCTGCTTCCAGAGAACCCAACCTAGGGCAGTGAGCCAGGCCGTCTCCTCAGTCCAGTGGTCCAGGAAAGAAAATAAACATGCACCAAGATTAACATCCTCCTTTGAACTGGAACCACAGCCTTCAGGAATAGTCGATCTGGATCCCAAGCAGGAAGAAGCTTTGTTTATCTAGAGACCAAAAGGAAACAGCTTGGCCTAAGAGGGGACGATAGAAATAGGCGGGAATCTCTGAGAAATCACCCCATCAGGTCACACTTTATCAGCCAGAGGTGCACTGAGGGGACTGAAGGAGCTGTCAAAAGGCAAGCGTTAGCACGTCTTGACAATTTTTCTGGAAATAATCCTTCTTTTGCTCTTCCTTCACCATAAAATTAAATTAAGCACACCATCAGTTTTCCCAGACTTAATCGGGACTTCACAGCCTCAGCATGTGCAGCCTCTTCCAGTCTTCATTCAGCTATCCATCCATCCAGGTATTTTAACAAATATTTCCATAACCATGGTGATAATGGTGGCCCCCATGTATTTCACCTGCCCTGTGCCAAGATCCCGGTGCTGGGGTATGAGTGAAAGAGGGCCTCTGACATCAAAGGCTCACACAGTGCTCTGTGCAAACCAGGGCTCGCTGGACGGAGTATAAAATGCTTTAAAGGTGGAATTTAAGTGGTGCTCCTGGAGCACCGAGGAGGGACGGTGAGATGGGCCCAGGCGAGTGCGGGAAATCAAGGTGAAGGTGACATTTGAGCCTGGTTTGGAAAGACAGGTGGCTGATTGCTGGTTTCAGTGCTAGAATGCTCAGGGGAAATGGATGCCATTAGAGCAAAAAGCAAGTCGCTGTAGGAAGGCCCGAGGGGCACAGAGGGTTGGAGGTGTTCAGTATGTTGGCCAAAAGGGCAGCAGGGAGGAGGGGAGAAGTGCAGCTGCCTAGACAAGGAGAGGGAGCAGGGGACCTCGAGGGGGCTGGGAACTCCATCTAAGGCAGAGAGGCCTTGTCAGCTGACAGCTCTGACACTCTGTTTGCTTTTTAAGAAGATAAACCTGCAGTGTGGAGAAAGGCAAGAATGGGAAATAGTTTTTATCTTTAAAACAATTAAGCCAACTGAAAAACGCAGGCTGCAAAACATTATATAGAGTATGACTTCATTTTAAGAACAACGACAAAGGAGGTAGATGGACTATTTGTAAAAGTACATT